ATGGATGCTCTAGTCAGCGGATGCTGTGGGAACACGAACGGCGTTATGGGCGACTGCCCGTGGAGCCTGGGCACTTGGCGCAGGTGGAGCCAATTGTAGGAAACCCCCAATCTCTTGAGGAACCGAGTCGTGCGCCTGAGAATGAGGATTTAACCAGGCCCGTAGAAGGTTTAGGGTTTAGGGTGGTTGCATGGTACAGTCTGAACTCCTTGAAGGGTGGTTATAAAGGGGATTATATGGGGCTTGGGGTTTAGGGTCTAAACTCCCTAGAGGGATTATATACGCAAGGGGTTACTAAGGGGGATACTAGAAGTTTGGAATATAGCTCATGTGAGTAATGTAGGGGTCGAATTAATTACCACTATTGTGGTTTCAGGTTCGTTGTACAACTATGGTATGGGGTACCTCAAACGGACCTCAGAATGATTATGGTAATTCTTTGACACCATTAGTCGTGTTGTATTTGGTCATACTATAGAGTAAGCATATAATCTCCGTCCGCGTATCGTATTTCATCAGAAGAGTCTAATTCCTTGGCTCAACAACCAAAAGCCTACGCGTACGAGATGGAGTGACTAGGGCTCAGACAAGAAATCAGGAAGTGGTAACTGTTCATCAGGTTCTATGGGGAACCAGATGGTCATCGAAATCAAACACAGACATTTCTCGATTTTCTAGAATTTTAATGTGAGGGTCCGTATATGAATTACCGTCACTTGGGAACAGTACTTTAAACCAGGTCGTAGATATAGAGACTAGTACTAGGGATGATGCTCCAGCACTTGAACTGACTGCACTTTGTCAAACATCCCTTTGCAGCAACACAGGGGACACTGATTCAAACACAGCACGCAGTGTCTTTGAGCTTCGGCTGATTTTTGAGTGTTGCTCGGAAATCTACCATCTGTGCCAGGGCGTGAAAGAAACAAACAAACTGCCCTGTAACATTTTAAAGTGTCGGGATCTATACAGATCAGAAGCCGAAACACACATTCGGAATCTTCCCTTCATGGGCCTGTTGTTACGCCAGGGTTCACGGATGAGGCTCCAGACGTCCACCGCAGGGGGTTGCAAGTTCCGCCTGTTGGCACAAAGTCCTGGGACTTGCAGGGTTGAGCTTAGAGTTTAGTTTCCATTTTATTTTCCGTTATCCCTATATAACTCCTATATAACCCCTGTATATACTCATCCGCATAGATTCCCTAGTTTTAAAGGGGCTTGGGGCTGCCAGAGTTAGTGTCCTCGCAGCCTTGAAAGCCAGGCTCACAAGGAGGGGCGGCCGCTGCCAGCAAAGGGCACTCCCTACGCCAGGGTCTTAGGCTCATAGTCCCCCTTAAGTAAATAGAATATGGGGTATATGGGGATCTTATCATATTATACCCAAAGCCATTTTCTATCTACTCCAGGGGGACTATAGGGTTGAGTTGTTTTGAGAGTTTAGGGCTGACTTCTTATGCCAGGGTATCATCTTCAAAGGAGCTTTGGGGCCCCAACTGAACCCCCTGATGTAGCTCAGGAGTTGGCGCTTCAAAGAGGTAGGGGATAAGAGTCAGGTTTGGAGCTTGGCTTTTGTGGGTGAGTGTTCAGGGCTTTGGTTTGAACATCTAGGTAGCAATCGCTTAAAGATGAAAGTTTTTACAATGAAAGGTTGAGGTAATGGAGCTCAAAAATGGGTAGCTGGAGACCTTCGAGCTTCAGGACTTAAGTGTATTGAAACAGTATACCAGGGACCGTATGACGAGAAGAAGATGGAAAGTCAAATGATGCTACAGCTGCGAGATGCAGAGTATCGCCACATTTCGGCATCTATGAAGCCTACTGTCCAATAAAGACTACCACCCTCTGGACAAATTGTTTCAACAGGCCCAATCACCACCTATAGCTTCTTGTGCACTGGATCCCCGCACTAGCCCCTGTGTAAAGACTCATAATAGTAGCCCTCCTACTCCGTTCCCCCATTCTTTGCTAATCGCGAGTGAAGAACCCCTGGCTATTATGTGACACAGAGCAGGCTAGTTCTGCTAGCTCTTCTTATTGGTGGTTAGTAGGGGGAATCAGTGAACATATGATAAAATATTGGTCCACATACTCGTTTCCGGCATGTAGGGGCCAAGAAGAAATGTAAATTCCCGCGTTCCCAGAGGGCCTTGGCCTGCAAGAACTGCAAAATTTGATCAGTTCCCTACATCCGAAAAAAAACTGAGATCCTAAAAATTGCATGGTTATATATCCTTATGGCATCCTCATGCAACCCCTACATCCCATATATCCCCTTCTTGGGATGCTAGTATGAGAAGAAGCTCGTTTTGCAGCTCAGGTGACGCTAAAGCCGACACCTACAGAGCCTCCAAAGCCAGAGGAATTCGATGTTTCGGGCCACTACAAGCCTGAGGAGGCGCTGGAATGAATATTCCCCCTAATAAAAAAGCGTGGTATGACACTGGGGGTATTCATTGGGAGGGGGTTTGCTTATTAGGGGCCGGAGATTATCAGGGGAAAGGATTTCGTGCTTTTTGCTGGGTACCTAGCTACACTTGATGTTTGCCCTGTTTCTGTACACCTACAATTCCGGGAGAGCTTCCTAAACTCTAAACCCTCGTAACTCATACAACAGGTTTCCAACTTCTTTAAGATTTCAGGTCTGAAGTTTCGGGATGGAGCTTGCAGGCAGGTTTGCGTAGGGATTCATAAAGGGCTCTGCATGCATTCTGCAGGTCTTCAGAAGGAGTAAACAGGGAAGTGCAGGCTTAAGGGCTTGGGGGTTTTGCAGCGATTTCTGCGAAATGTTCAGTGATATTGAACACTGCGGACTTCACATGGCATGGTTCGGTTGCAGGGTTGTACGGGGTTCAGGACTTACCGATTTCAACTTGCAAAGGGGTTCTAGGAGGGTTTGCTGGTTTCATGCAAGGTCACTGTGGCTTTGCTGCTGGTACTTGATGGAAATCAAACGCTGATTGAATATGCCATTGGGAAGGTCTTCATGTGAAATGATCATATAAAGTTTCCAAAAATGTGGTCCCTGTATATACCCCAAAAAGTGATAATCCTAATTAATAGACCCAAATAGGGGCCCAATTTTTTGCAAACCTAAACACAGTGAATACTTGAATCATGAGTCGATCATTATCCAAGATCCAAGCAAAACAAAGCAAGTTTGGAACAGGATTGCCACACACACGCACACACACACACACACACACAGCCCCAAAAACAGCTGTGAGACCGATTTGGGAACTCAATAAATACCCCTGAAGTCACTTAGTTCAAATGACGAGCAACCCAGCGAAGTGCTCAACATGTGCAGATCCATGCCATTTGTCAGGACATCGAAGCAAAAAAGTACAAGGCCCCGGACTCCTACGCCCGGGAGCCCAGATTTCCAAGGCTTCGATCCGAAAATCTTGAGGTGCTGAAGGTTCGCCTGGGGACAGGATGTCCTGATCAGGAGCTTCAGTTTCGAAAGTTGGGTGCCTGCTATTGAACACAATTTCCTGACCATCCCCCTTCGAGACTATGACATTAAGTTTCTAAATCCCCTAAGATTTGTTTGCATCTTCATTTTAGGGTGCTTAGGAGGTTAGGCAATAAGACCAACAGCTATAGGCCTCCCATCCACGTTTCTTGAGGCGTAGGACGTTAAGCAAACCCCGGGATTGTGCAGAATGTTTTATGGAGTAAGTAGGAACATGACTCTCGAGTTAGCCAGGATCCTTCCAGGGATGTCCTAACTCTGCGTGGGAGACGTACGCCCGGATTTCTTGTTCCTTTCGGTTTCAATGGAGACAGCAAAGCGCCTCTTATCAGTTCCATGCAGTTGGATTTAGCTAGGGTGTAGCACTGAGACACGTGAGCTTTGAGACTTTCAGTCAAGAGCAAGGGATCGGTTCAGGCTTTGGGTCAAGTGGCGGAAGTTGCCAGTCGTGGTGCCCTGCCTTCTGCCAGCTGTGCTGAAGGGAAGAACCAACGACAACTCCCAGCTGCGTCACATGAGGTTGTTTTTATTATTTGTTTGTACTTGCGTATAGGGTGTGCGCACGCGCGATGAGTATTGCTAATTATCCGTTAGGTGGGTCTAGAAGCAGAAGTATACTTTGCATAGCAAGACGAAGCCCTTGACCTGTCATGGCACACCATAACACCGAGGTCCGAACCCAAGCTAAGTCCATGATTCTCACGTTTGGGCTACTGGTATAAGATGAGATCCCACGAGTTCTCTTTTGCAAAGCAGTCTCGGCAAACTTGCATACAATTGACTCACAACCCCGAGGTGCTTTACAACACCCACCTCATCCGCATACACATCTAGATAGAACAGCATCACTTTGAGTGAACATCACCCGAAATCCGGCTGCCATCTTGTATGCACAGAGCAGGATGTGTGAATTTCTCAAGAACATCCTTAGACACTCCTGAAGCTGGACTCCTCAAGGTCCCGCTGATACTGCCCATGCATGCCTCGGGTCCTAAGAATGAATACCTCCGTTGTGCAACACCCTACCATATGTGGCTTTCCCAAAATTAGGGGTACCTTTTTGGGGATCCCTATAATAAGGACTAGAGTATCTAGAGGCCTATATTGGCGTCCCCCTATCAAGCACCTAAATCTCTAAGTACTCTCAGTCTGTACTTCTCTCAAATCCCCTTACGACCCATACAAACCCTTGTAGTCATCCCGAATAATATGAGACCAACAATTTTCCCCTAAACCCTAAAGGCCCTCAACCCAGGTATCGCCCACCGGCCCAGCCCCGCCTCCGCGACACCAGCGAGGGAACCCGCGGGCGGCTGCGAGCTCAGAGAAGGTTCAAGGATTACGTTTTGCGTTTAAGGTTTAGGGTTTAGGGATTTAGGGTTTGGGGTTTTAGGGTCCCGCTTAAGTAGATAGAATGTGGCTTTGGGTGAATTATAAAAAGATCCACATCGAACCCATATTCTATCTACTTAAAGGGGAACTATAGGGTTTGAAGATTTTAGGGTTTAGGGTCTAGGGTGTAAAGTTAGGTGTAGAGCTGCGAGTTTTAAGGCTTAGGATATTGTATTTTAAGGTTGACCCTGAAGGAGGTGATATCCTCCCGAAAACTAACATGGAAACTTCAAAAGGCCCCTATAAAGACTACAGTCCCTTTAAAGGGGTCTACATGGATTTCCATGTTAGTTCGGGCAGTGTAATCCCCAAACCCAAGGGTTGAACGTAAGCTGGAATCCCTCACAACCCAATTCCCTCTCAGGCCTGGGAAACGCCGCAGTACACCCCCGCACGACCAGGAGGACCCCCGCATGGAGCTCAGCAGCAACTGATAGGGATTTTGGCACCCAATGAGTTTGTGTTGGTGTATTAAGGATTTTATGAAGAGAATTTTGGTAGCCTTCATTACCGTCGTATGATAGTTATAGTGCCTTAGTTTAGCAGCGTTTAGGAAGACTTTCCAAAGACCTGCAGCAATGGAAAGTAAGATGGTTGACTGGTTACAGTTCCAGAAACGCATCCACTAACCACAGCAATTTGGGCTTAGGATTTAGGGAAGATATAGCCCCGATATACTATATAGTAGTTTTCATTTTCTTTTCCATTATCCCTATATATCCCTAAGTAGGTTTACAGTTTTGCAACATCTGATCTGGTCCGCCTTTCCGTGCAGCTTGGTCCTGCTTGTGCTTTGAAAACAGTAGCGGCAGACCATAAACTCAAGCAAGGTGACAGGACTCCGGAGATTTCACATTCAATTACTATTATTACTACTATTATTACTACTATTATTACTACTGTTACTGTTACTAGTACTATTATTAGTATTATTGTTACTAGTCATAAAGCCTCTGGGATCCTGAAAAAGGCTTCAAGCATTATACATCCATGCCTTACTCGCCCTTTGCTGTGGCTGACAGGGGGTTTACGTACTCTGGACATTCATCAAGTGGATCAACACTAGGGATCTTTGATGATTTTGGCATGTGGGTTTCCTTACAAAACTACCAAAAACATGCTTCTTCTTCCTCTTCCTAGGGGAAATGTAGCAACTGCAGGCCAAGGCAGTGGCCGGAGCCTGGATCCTTGCCGGCCGACACAGCCTGCACCTGAGAATCAGAGCGCTGAAAGCAAACCCGGTAAGATGTTCACGTTTGTTGAGAATTCCGAAAGTTGCCGGACGCTGCTGGGGTCCTTCAGGTAGGGATAGTCTGACTTTGGGAGGCTTTCTAGGCAGGCCCAGACTTTGACGAAAACCCTAACAGGTCCTAGAAACGTACGATTTTTGTGGGGGAATAAAGGACAGCCAGAACAAAGTCGAATTGGTTGGTAAGAACGTCGGCGTTTTATCCACGAAGCTGCATCAAACAGGACTTGCTGGCCTCAAAGAGCGCGCAGACGGGTTCAGGGAATGCTTTAATTGCTTTTCGACGCAGCATTGACCTTTTCACTTTTCACCTTCATCCTTGCTTGACTGAAGGCAGTTCGGAGGCCTCTCGATATAACCCCAACACAATTCCAAAGGCAGGCCCCCTAGAAAGCAAGCGTCTGTGTCCCTAGGAGTTTCAAGGAAATCCCCGATTGAGAAACACTTATACTTATACTCCAGTCAAGACCCTTTTTTTGCTATATGAGGCAAGTCAAGTCTCTGACACAAGCTTCATAACTGCTTCACTGTCCTCTTACAATCCCTCTAGACAGAATCCATGCGAAGCGCTGAGGTTTTGAATGGATTACAAAACATTGCGTACACTTCCGAAGCCCCAAAAAACCTTTCAAAGCTTTATAGACATACCCTATACATTCTGCAAACCAGAAAATCCAAACTCTGGACCCAAACCCTACACCCCCTAGACCCTATTATATCCTTGTATACCCACCATGTCCTACTTTAAATGGACCAGTTGGAACTTCAGCGTGCGACCAGGTTCCGCCTGTCCGGGCGAAGATAGAGGTGGAGAGGGCCCTCGGCCCCAGCTGGCACAGTCTTGCGATGTGTAACCCAGACCCCTGATTAATAAACCCTTTCCCCTTAATAGGGATTAGAAAAGGGATCCTAATATTAAGGCCCTTATTTAAAACGGAGTATGATAGGGATCCTAATATTAAGGCCCTTACAAGGAGGGGGTTTATCAATCATGGTCTACATTAAGATTTAGATGTTAGGGTCTCGAATTTCAGCCTAAGGTTTAGGTCTTGGGCCTCGGGCTTTAGAGTTGAATCTTCGGGTTGGGGTTTAGGGGGTTTGAGTGTGCCTGGGCTTGGTTGGGGCTTCTGAAGCGCATAAGAACTGTTAGACTTTCATACTTCTTTGGTCTAGGGATTTCAAGGTATAGGGGGATCTGGTTATGGTTTGGGGAGTAAAGATGAGATATAGTATGTGTCTAGCAAACCGTCAGTGAGGAATTATGGCAATCTGCGTTTCA